CCACTTAAATTATGCTTTGATTTTATCCTTCTCCCTGCTGCCTAAACCTGTAACTGCAAATGTAATAGAGAATTGGTAGCCAAATAGCTTCTTTAGCTTTCTAAAGGTTAAACAGAACCACCGTACTAGTACCTTGCTGAAGTGTTGGTAAACTCCACACCAGCAAACTGTGGATGGTGTGTGTGTTGGAAGGCCAGGTACAGGAAGAATGGGTTTCCCCTGTCAGCGCTGGTCTGGATAAACCTGCTGGCTTGTTTCACATAACGTGACGACAGGGTCAGTAAGTCAGCGGGCTGCTCTACGATCCGATCGTTCTCGTAGACCGGACAGCCCGTCCACTGTGAGCCGCAGTTGTCGTTCAGACCGCACGGGACATTTGGCCAGAAGCAGACTGGACACGGACACATGTCGTGGGAGTAGGGGACGCCGTAGTAGTAGTCAAACCCATGGTTGGTTGGGAGGTAGGTCTGATTCACCCCCACACCCAGGTGCCATTTACCTGTTGTGATGTGAACATCATTAACCTTCTCCCTGTTGCCTTACCCCATAACCAGCACAAATTTGATGCCAAACAGCATAACCAACACAAGTTTGATGCCAAACAGCTACGAAGCATAGAAGCATACGGAAGCATAGAATGATGACACAATAATTGTAAGTGGGGTAGTAAGATAGAAATGCTTACCAATAATAGCTGTGTCATATCCCTGAGTCTTCAGCACTTCTGCGATGGTTGTTTCATTCAGTGGCAGACCACCTGTGGAGTCAGCCCAAAATACACCAGGCCACACCCCTGATCGAACCTGGTACCTCCCAGTCAGAAGGGCTGCTCTGTTCCAGGTAAACATATTCAGAGACAACAGCTGTTGTCAAACCAAGCAACAACGACTGATTGCAGATTTGCAGAAAAAGGTTTGTCGAAACATTCAACTACAGCAAAGCTGGGATAGGGTCAAAGCAAGATCATGAAACTTCCCTGTGTTGAAAATCTTCAATTCTCAAATAAGGACACAATCCCTTACTTAACCCCCAGTCCTTACCTGGATGGACTACAGACAGGTGTGAACCTCCAGTCCTTACCTGGATGGACTACAGACAGGTGTGAACCTCCAGTCCTTACCTGGATGGACTGCAGACAGGTGAGCTGCTGTAGAACTGAGTGAACACCATCCCCTCCTGTGCCAGCCTCTCCAGGTGTGGTGCTGAGGAGGTAGGGTGACCGTACGTGGGCAGATCTCCGTACCTACAAACAGTCAGACCACGGATCACCATGCAGTATAGCCGTGGCGACTCTTGATTCGGGCTTACATTGCATTACCCTCAGCAAGAGGGTAATGCAATGTAAGCCCGAATCAAGAGTCGCCACGGCTACATGCAGTATGGCTTCAATGCAGGCTATATGTTATAGCTTTCATTTTTAGCTTCTTTCTAACCACCATCCTGTCCTTAGAATTATCGTTTGTTAACACCATTATGTCCGGGATGGAAATAACGTGTGCCTATTGATGTGGCAAATTGACGTTATCTTAGAAGGAAAATAAACATACCCAAGATCGTCTGCAAAGAGCACGACAATATTTGGCCTCTTCTGCATCTGGCTCCATGTAAGGGGTGTGATCATCAACAAAACAAGCAGCACCAGGCTGCTGAGAACGAGAGACAGGTTTCCTGTCTTCCCAGTGGCAGCCATGTTTGTTGTCGTCTGCTGAAGCTAAGGTCAATGACCTCAAAAAACCGAGCCCTGGACTATCCCACTGGAGTCAAGGGGGACTCGATATCTACTAGTAACCTCTCAGCAGCGACACAGGCGGAAGTTACTTGAATGGCAGTCAAGTTGTTTTTACATGCTGGTTGTCCCTGTACATGCATTTTGAAGGGAAACTGCTGGAAGGCCGAAATCAATTCACAGGACCGATAATTTTCCTCCTTGCCTTGATCTTTGTTGAAGCCACACCAATTTAGTCTGAGCTCTCAATTTTTTGCTGGAAAATACAACAGGCAGGTGAAATAATGATCAATCATAAACTAAAATCAACCCATGAATTCTCTAAAATTCCCAAAATTCACTAAATAACAGCACCACTAAAAACAACCCACAATTGATTTGCATCACTTTTCTTTATTCTTACTTTACTTTATCATTGTACACTGTATTTTCATTTTAACAAACAATACTGAAAATGATGAATTTCAGAAAATTACCTTTTCTAAATTCTACTGTGAATTGAAAAATCAGACTACAGTATTTGTTGGTTACATGACAGTTCCCAACCTTCTCTTTAATCACAAGTAGTACATAGTCGAAACTTAAAATAACTACAACCTGTTCATAAACTACTTGTAGACTTGTCAATAATAGTATATTGTCATACGAAATGACCCAAAACAGGTCTATTCAATAATACATGTAATCTTGAACTTAAATTTAATCACTTCTTTGATGGATAAGGACAGGATGTTGTTTTTAATGTGGTATGGAATGACACATCCTTGTCTTATAACAACAACTACAGTTTCTTCCTGTGGATCTGTAGTGTCCTTCCTTGGGCCCCCAACTTGTGGGTGTTCACGGCTTCTTCAGCCACCCAAGTCTAGCAGCATCAAGGCACCACTTCTGCCAACATGTCCCTCCCACAAGGCTCAGTACACGGCCCCCTGTACGGGTGTTCAAGGCCTGGCCACCGATGTCTGAGCCACCACGGGGACTAGATAATGCAGCAGAGGAAGACACGTACACGGTGTGTCTTCTTCGGCCTTCCTCTGGGCCCCCCTGTAAGGGTGTTCAAGGCTACAGCCACCCGACGGAAGACCTTTCATGTTGTGTCACTTCCCATTATGACACGTTACATCATACAACATTGGCTGTGCAACTGTGACTACTACCAGTCCGGACATGCAACTGTCCTTCAAAACTAGAGGATGATGTCTTTCTTTCTCCTACATCACGAGCAACTTACTACTTTTCACATCATATTTGAGATTCATGTTCTACATAAATATAAGTTTCAAAAAATGCTACGTAACTTTGAAATGCATACTGAAAATGTATTTTGATTACACTGTCAAGTCACAAGTCCTGGTTGCACGGCCCCTATGAAGATTTCCGTTTTCACAGTGATCAAGTATTTTTCTGTTCGTAGATTGTGTCTCTGCTTTGTCCATGATGGTGAGTTGGTGTGTTAGTCTGTTCCTAGGCCTGTTTGGTTGCCATCAGCCGCATCATCAGACTGTTTAACTTCTCCAGCTTTTTGACGTCCTGGGCATGCTCAGTTCTGTACTGGAGGCACTGGAGGGAAACATAAGGAGTGAGAAGATATGCATGTGTTTACTTACACTGTTTGATATATGATAGTGCATACATTTGCATTTGTACTCTAATGAATAAAGTATACCGCTATAATTCAGTTTTTTATAGCACAAAAACAGAACTTCATATACAAAGTAACATACAACAATTGTACAGTAGACTACATGTACTTTCACCTCATGTTAGAATACAGCTATGACTCATGTGCAATGCTGAATTATCAGGTGCAATCATGACGTTTCTAGAAATGAAACTTACCACTTGGTCATCTGTGACTTTAAGAACTAGCTTCCCATCACAATGTCGATACTTGACCACAAACCGGCACTGAGAAGAAACACAAAGGAGGTTATGATCAGTTACCAGTACCTGGGCCTAGGAAAAAAATGTTGTGTTTCCTGTTTCAGTCCTGAAAAAATAGGGTCAGTAGGTAGGGATTATGATCTTTTTTTTTTCTTTGGTGACCTCTAGTGATCCAACTTATACGATACAGTGTAACAAAGTAAACATTGCATGAGGACACTTATATTTTCAATGTCAATATTGGAAAACTGATTGTACAACATTTCATCACTCAGATCACAGATCATTAAGTTAGAAAAGGTTGATCAGCTCTCCCTTGCAGGGGTCTGCACAACAAAAAAAGGCTGGGGTTGGCAGTTTTTTCAAGGGTCGGTCTGGAAACATGAAACACAACGTTTTTTCCCTTGGCCCACTCATGTGGCAGTGCTGGAATAAGTTTATATACACTTGAATGTCAATAAGAGTTGAGTTTTGCTTTGATGCGTTCATTGACCCTACAGTCTTCACATTTTCAATGCTGACACATGTACAAGACCTACATGTAGCAGTTGAGTTTGGTAACTAATAATATCAACGCCAACATCAAGGAGATAGGATGTCTGCACGACATACTCGTAAACTCTTTGTATTTAACCTGCTAACCCCCTCCCTGCTGATTAAGCTGGAGCAAATATAACTATAGTGAGATACCCCCTAGCATGTAATCCCCTCCCCTTCAAAATCTAGGCCATAACAACAACACTTTAAGGTCCACAGATGGGAAACTAATCAATGCTATATATATAGGCTGGGGCAACATGCTTTAGAACATGCCAGGAGGACTGGTCCATTTTAGTGGATAAGAATATCCTGTTAGCATTTTGATTTACTGTACAGATGACATCTGTACCTGAAGAACACCAAACGATCTCACACTTTCACACTGATGTGTGCTTTATTTGTTGGACTCTATCTTGTGTCCTGTCCATGGCAAATATATCTGATGCTAATTATTTGATTGCAATTAACGTTGTGTTCACCGTTGTTATGCATCTAGGAAATGTGAGGTGACACTATCAGCTAGTAGCTGCCTAGTGCCTGCATTGCATTGTCTTTTTGCAATGTCAAGAAAGATATGGAGAAAAACTAAGACATTTGTACTATATAGAGGACCATATGGTGGTGAAGGGTGTTGGGCTTGAAACAGTGGACAACACACAAACAGATTGTCCTTCATAGGGGACATAAGTCTTTAGTTCTGTAACTTCGAATTCTGTTTATAGGTATGCCTTGGGCATTAAATCTAGGTGCAGAACCCAAAACAGACCTGATTTATATGTGGACGAAAACCTGATGGTAAAAAAACTGCATATGCAGCAAATAAAGCACACGAAACTATGTTACATCAAATTTTTCCTATGTGTAAATTGGGCTGCTTTGGCGCACGTGAAGAACGTATAATGTTCAAATCGTACGCCAGCCCTCAAGATAATGTACGATCTGAACATACATTCACGATGTACGTCAAAGCAGGCTGATTTCCACACAGTTCTCGTCCCGCCAGGTGTTCGCCCGCGTGTAAATCGGGTCACAGTCTATTCCAGTAGGGGGATCCAGTGTGCTTGCCCAAATATTGCAGGTCCATGTCCTCTCTCCTGTTACTCAATGGTGACCAATAAGCAATGTGCAGTTAAAATATTCCAAGAAAGGAGATCATGTTTATAATTATGTAACGCCCTTGTTTACATGTGAATATGATTCTGATGAAGTGGATTGTAGTTGATCTGGTGTTACCCTGGAAGTGTCAGCCTCATTTGAATTTGTATTGGAAGCCAGATAAGGTGTAAACCTGATATTGGATTCGTTATACTACATACAATGGTAGTTCTGTTTTGTTGTTTTGCTTTTTGACGTCTTGATTTTAATAGTACCGTTAGTAAATGTGACTTAGTTGTTTCTTTTGCTATAAAATAATATCCTTCAGGTGTACAAGTGAGGGGAGGAAGCAATGCCTCTCAGTGTGAATAAATGGGATTGATGATAATTCTGCTCAGAAAAACTTTAAAAAATGGGGAAGCTAGAAATCCCAACATCTGCTTGGAGATAAATGTGGTTTCCTAAAATATGTGCAGTGTGTTCAGTCAAGGTTCAGTTCATCTGTATGTTGTGAACAGATTCGGTATCACAAAGTCCGCTCAAGCTGTAGGTGGGAATTATTATTCATGACATATGTCCATATCCATAACGTAGTCTAACCAAACGTTAAACCTTGTGGCACATGTGTGAGAAAGCCTTTTCTTTTTAGGTTTTCCTAGTCATTTCATGAGGCTACGGTGTTACAGTTAGCTTACCTTCACGGGGTCGGCCTGATACAATCGTTCTGCCGCCTTGGCGAACTCTTCCCACGAAGTTATGAACGTCATTCTGGTGGGAAAAAGACAGAAAATTGAAAATTTTGTACAACTCAGCACAGCTTCAGCACTAACCGGAAATGACAACCCGGAGTCATACGAACTTTGACCTCTTTGTGAATTTAATTTCCCGTTTGGATTAGCCGCGGCGGTCCTTTTTTCAACAACTCGGCCTCTTCGCGTCCTTCCTGACGAAAAAACTTGGCAGTTGTATACAGGTCGGAGTCTTTGTGTGTGGATATTTTTGTGGACATCTCCCAGCCTGCTGTCTGACACAAAGATCCAAGATGGCGCCGTGCATGTGAAATGAGTTGCGGGCTGGGCCTGGTCGGAAGCGATTTTCCTCCTCACTTTCTCCGTCTAGCTTCATCCAGAACACACAGATCAGGAAGGATTATCTCCTGACATAGTCGGAAGCGTCGGTTTGAAAGAATACCCCAGGATAATTCACCGAGGCGAGATATTGTGTCCACTATAGCGGGACCGTTCCTTCAGTTCGTCTGTCATTTTTGGAGGCTGGAATAACAGGAAGCCATGAGGTAGGACATTCTGTTGTGTTTCCGCCTGTCTCTTAGCCATTTATACACATTTTCAGATCATATATCGTAGGGCTGATAGGTTTTGATATTTTGTTCTTTCCCCATTTTGCTATTGTCCAGCTTGGAGCGCAGGCGTATACATGTACACGTGATGATCTTTAAATACTATGAAGCCATTGTTGTAACTGACTCACTATATGTAACGGTGTCTGGTGCATTAGTTTTAGTGCTGCTCTACTTGTTCATTAACGTATCTCACTTTACAGAGTCACAGACAAGCTTGAAACAGTTCCAACACAAATTTACTGACTGTGAACACCTGCATAATTTTCACTCCAATTATGGCTGAACCATACACTTCCTCATGTAGAATATTTATGATGGAAGCTCATGCATGCTTATCTGATGTGTGCCATATAGAACACATTTACTGTAAGCTGTGCTGTGTGTGTATGTCTGAATCTGACCATGTACTTGTGAAAGACTATCCCACAACAGTGGGTATATCAGGCTTCTGTCATATGACAAGGTAAACAATGACCTCAGAGCAAATAAATCAATAAATGTGTTAAACAATAGTGCAGTTTGGCTCAGCCAGGCTTTCTCCTCGAAGCGAGCACGCTACTACTATCTGGCAGAGGGTGTTGTAACATCACATAGTTTATTTCTGGTCAACATTCCTGCAGATGGATAACTGGCATAGTTCCTGGAACTCATGCTGAAACATAAGTGATGCCACGACTGGGCTATTCTTAGGTACACTCTGAACCCTACCCACGATGACACCAGGGCGGACAGGATACGGCTGTCTGATGACACCAACTGTCGTGCACGGACTGATTTTTTCGTCTCTCTGTGTTCCTAGACATTGTCTCTTCATCATATCACTGGTTAAAAATTCCAGAGTTTCAGGAAGCGGTCTACCTGTCAATTGTTGGCAACTTCCTCACTATTATAAGTCTAGAAGTAATGTGACTCTCCCGTGACCTCCCCGGGCAATGCCAGAGATTTCTTCAGTCAGTCTGCGTGTTTGCATAATCTGTGCATTCAATTTGTTGTCACTTGTTCTCGGTGACATGTCAGAAGTTGTGTAACACGTCCTCAAGTGCGCTGGGAAGAATTCTCGTCACATTTCTCTTTTCACAATGCACTTCAGACAGCCAGGCTGTATCAGTGTATGGTCAACAGGGCAGGACCTCAGGCAATTGAGAAGTAATGAGAAGGTCACAGAGGTTCCCATACCGCACTTTTGATCGGCCCCATATTACACACGTCTCTGTGACGGAAAAGAAAACATCGCAGTTATGTTGGGCATGTTTCTTGGAATAGATTCACACTTGGAAAAAGATTGCCCTCATTACTGACATTTAGACTTCAATTTCCCAAATCCTTTCTTCCGCAAAGAACCCGTGTTCTTCTTCGCGGGGTTGGAATCCCTGGCGTCGTGTGTAACATGGGAGCACAATTGGCCCCCAGTGCCAAAGTCCTCATCCTGAAAATTTTCTCAACAAAGTGTGAGGTCTTTTCAAAACATTCCAGTGCCCTCGGCATTTTGGACCATTTGATCTGTGGTCTTTGTATTCTAAGCAATGCTCTGTTTCAGCCTACCTTGTTTTTCTTACATGTTCGAATACCAACATGAAGTTTGTATAGCACTGAGTTAACCCAGCTGTAGTACTAAACATATTTCTTTCCTCTAGCCACCAGTAAAATAATACCTAGTGTGGATGGTATTTTATGTATATACAGTGTACGTGTGAAATGTATTCCATGTTCAATATTGCAGCACCGTATCTTCATAGTGATCTTGTTCCATATGAGTTATTCAGAATTATGACTAATTGATAGAAGAAAACAAAGACCCAGCAGTGCTGATAACTGTTCTTTCCCGTTGATGTTCTGTGAAGTTGACTTGCATCACCTCACCTGTGTGGCCTGTCTGTCAGAAAATCAATATGTCCATGCAGAAATTTGCCTTCCAGATCTGCACCCCATCGTATTGAATTAGAATAACTCGTACACAGTCTTAGTGTCCTTGGTAAAATATATGTGAGCAGATTTTAAAACCATTTTATCACACTCCCTAAAAACACAGTCATGCATTTAGCTGGACATGTAACTTTAGTTGCTAGAATCTGGGATTAAAGTCACTGCTTGTGGGGAAAAAAGTAGGAATTGTAAATTTTAACCATTTGTACACAGTGTAAGTGAAACCTGCTTTGTCTCCCACTTGAATTTGACTTGGTGAACTACTGAGAAGAATAAAGCACCAATCAGGGACCTGCTCTAGTCCATGCCGCCCTTTTGTGGTAAGGAGATATACGATGTGTACATGTTTGTTTACCCCCTTGTTCAGACATATGGTTGACACAGGAACCCATACACAAGTGGCAGGTTAGACAAATGTAGGATCAGCTACATGATCGAGTGGCACAAGAGTCACTTTTCAGGATTTTTTGGCCTGGGGTGGTGTTCACTGTAAGGGTTATTGTTTAGGCCTTGCAGTTTAATCAGGCCTGTAACACTGCTTAGTGTAACTTGTCAGCGCCCTAACAGATTTAGAATTCCTTTAAACACATAGGTGAAAAGCTTGGAGAGTCTTAAATTTTGCACTTCAGTACTAACCCAAGGGAAGACTGTGCTTAGGAGAGGGAAGTATGTAGCTGGTAGCCCCAAGCAATATATATGTGTGTGTGATTGGAAAGCTTTGGATTGTTTTGAAATGGAGGTCAAGGGTCATTGTGGGTGGGCTTGTCAGATGTCTGTGTAATACACAGTGTTGATAGTAGTAGGAAGATGGGGATTTTATACAGACCAAGGTCATCATGACCTCTGCATCATACCACAATGTCATCTTTGTATAGTATATATATATGTATGATTCATAGCAGCCACCTGTGTGTAATGTTGTTTCTTGACCAGGATTTTTGGACTGGTACATTCCTAATGTTGTTTACATGTGTATATTTATCTTGGTGTTAAGTTTCTGACAAGGAAAAGAGAATACAACAAGAGTTTTGGCTCATGTGATAAACATAGAAAGTTCCTTTGCATCACACCGTTAGTCTTCACCTTCCAGTGACTTTGCATAATGGATATAAAGTTCCCTGCTCAAATGTAGAATGTTACATGCTTTTTAATGATTATTGGATAGTATGGAGGCATAGAAATACCTTCTTTGATGTGTGCCCTCGGGGATAGTTGTTATCAGAGATTGACTGACAGCTAGATTTGAATTTTCTGAGAAGTTGAGAAGGAAGCTATATTAGATCCCAGGACATGAGGAAGTGAACTATTGTACCGTAACCCAGTCCAACTGCGTAGTGGTCAGGGAACTAATCCTAATCCACTTTGAAGGACAGTCCTGGGCTGATGTTACTATTAGTAAATCCACATGTCAAACACAAAGAAAATACCACCAGTGAGAGTAAGTAAGTACAATGATTTACATGCATGCGTATTATACACAGATTATATGGTGTGTGTAGACTGTGTATATTTTGAGTTGAGAGGTTTTACTTTTAGTTTCTTCATCATAGTTTGTCAGGCAAAATCAGGCAGAACTTAAGTCTACATTGTCCAGTCGATTTGAGTACAGGTCACATATAACAGCTGCAATGTTTCAGAAACTTGAAGTTCTGTTGGGGTCTGTTTTAAAACAATGGAAAAAGGGAAAGCTGGACAATCCAGAGCTTTTGTATGAATACTATAATATAGTACTAGTAATTCCATGTACATGTATGTGTACATCAGACAAAGGAAACAGATTTTAAAAAAGGAAAGAACCGTTGAACTTGAATGAAGTTTTGCTTGCTTTTTACTTGTATAGGATTGCATAAAAAGTGCTTGTATATATTGATTGTATAATACTAGATAGTATATAGCAGATATTCATCAGTTTATTAATTTTATCATGTGTATTGCTTGTCCCTCTTGAGTCTTCTGTGCTTGGCCTCATAACCTTTTACATTTGTACCTGTATACAGTGCATGACTCCCATAGTGGTGCCCTGCATCTCAAAAGTAGGCCAACTTGGCATTTGTTTACCAACATCCTCCTTTGCCATTTGCTGTTGATTGACAGGGATCATCAGACACACCAAAAATGCACAGAGGGAGGATACCTGCCACCTCCCAATCTTAATATTCTCTTATCTAATCAGGACGTTATCAGGGAGACTGTCAATGGCCAGCAGTAGTATAGTGGGATCTTCAGCCTACCTTCACCTACCAGCCATTAGTAAATCTTTATGACCACTCTTTTGTCATAACACTTCAGCAAGACCGGACTTTTCCTGCAGGATATTATCTGTAGTAAAACTACTAGAACTTAGTAGAATGTGGATGAGTGTTAATACTGTTATATCAAATTGCACACATGTAATGTTGATTGATACTTTGTATCATATGCAGTAATTGTGTAATTTCAAGAATAACAGTAGCCAAGTTTCAGATAAATTTCTGCCAGACCAGCTTGTTGTCTGAAATCACTCTGCCTATTTCAAGGAGACTGGAAATAGAGGTGTGTGGCTGTGAGAAATCTAATCCTTTGACCCGCTTTAGAGAGATCTCCCCTGTTCCACCTGAGCCACCTTCCGTTGGAAGTCAGGAGACCTTGACGGAGAACACGGGAACCACTTACACCTAACCTATTGTGGAAGTCGGAGTCAGTTACCTGTAGGTTGTCACCTGTACAGAACAGGAGTTGTCACCTGTAAAGCACAGACATCATTAGTAAGCAGGGCTCGAAATACCACCTGCATATGCAGATTAGTGTAGGTTAAATATTGTAGCTATGCTTTGATGTCTACCTGCACCTAACCTAAAGTTGATATCTACATGTTGGTGTATGTGGATTTGTAATTGCTGAATTGACCACCTATAACAGAAATAATGGCAATGGTTTTTGAACAGTCTTTAGTATGATCCATACTTCCTAAATTCTGAGTGGTGCAGAGGTCTGAAATATATATAAAGGTATTAGACAATTTGTCAGGATAG